TATAAATGTTGAAACACTTTAATATCCTTGTTACATCCAGCTACTAAGATTGAGTAATCTTTATTAAAAGCGATAGCAAAACACCATTCATTTTACTTAGTAGAATATTAATTCATAAGGTCAAAAATGAATGGATTTGATTTAAATATAATTCTTTGCTTCGATTATTCTATACTATAGTTTGGAATCTATAAATTATCATTTTACTTTATATTTGGTTGACTCTTTATATTCTTAAGTATTTCATTTATAATCGATTTCGATTATTCGATTGATTATTTAAGTTACTTAAACTTATCTTCGCAATCTCCTATTTAACATAGACCTTTTATTAATTAATCAATCTGTGTTAATCCTAATTCTGGGAATTATTCAATATTAAAATCATTATAATGAAGGAACTAATGTATAAGACTATCAAGGGAAATTTTACATTCTAAAACATTCTTATAAATATTCTGAACCATAAGGATCCTTTCATTAATCCAACCATATAACAGTTCCTAAGATGTTAACTTATTGAGATGTTGACCATGGTAAGGCAAGCAAAAATTACAATAAGGTCTCTAATTTGGGCATGTACTATCTATGCAAAACCCTGTTATTTATTGATTTTGATGATCAGCTTATGTACATCTAATCTACATTTTATTTTTTTATTAAAAATAATATCTAAATATTTAATAATCATTTTTGTATAAATATCTTAAATTTATTATTCAAATTAAGTAATACAGGCATATCATCACGAAGACTCACTAAATGGCAATTTTAGATGAAAGAAATATAAGATGCCTAGGCTTTTGAGATGTTCTTTCCTCAATATTACATGTTTATTAATTTTTGGGATGTTGATAAAGATCAACCTTCTTTTAACTAAAATAAAATATATGTGATTGAAACCTTGTTTCAAAAATATGCAAATTAGTGAAAGTAATTTCACTTCTTTAATACAACTATTCTCATAAAAATGGCCAAATATTAATAGATATCTTCATCTTAAATATATTTATGAAATTATAAGTATATATATTTTTTATCAATTTTCAAGTCTATTGCAATAGCCAAATAATAATAAATTTGATTTTTCTAATCTGAAGGATGTATTTCTAGAACCTTAAGAAATTTTGAAAGGTTTAAGGTACCAAAATGAGTAGAAAAGCCCTTTGAGAAATAAGAGGGAATAGCTTTCAAATACTTACCGTTCCAGAATCATCATGCTGGGAGAAAATGTATAAAGGGGGATCTTTCCGAACAAAAATCATTTTAGTTATAGAAAAGAAGGAGGTTCAAGGATATGAATCCCATTCGAAAGATGCC